TTGTTTTTTTTACAATAACTTTTTTTGTAAGCGTTACAGAAAAAATTCCTTCCTTGGTACAAGACTCGACACCATAACGAACCAAATAGCGAAAAAAGTAGAACAATAGCTCTTAAGATAAAGAACTAGTAGCGTCGCAAAACGAGAGGACGGACGGACGAACAAAGTGGCCACAATAGCGCATTTTTTTTTATTTTTGTGGAAATGCGCTAAAAAGTCAAATCAAGCCAAGTTTTGTTTTGTTGTTCGGATAAAAAGTCTAATTTTGTGTCGAATTTGGGTATTGTGAAAATGTGTATGAACTTTTGTATAATTTTTTCTATATTGTCTATATTTTCCCCTTTGTAGTGGCCAATTTGATCAAAAATATAATTTAGTCTTTGAAGTTTCTTAAATTTGGATCTTCATAGGTGCGGTCGCACGCAACTTAACTTTTTTAAGTACACTAAAGGAAACTCCTATTCTTTCTCTGTTGTGGACTGGCAAAAACGAGTTGCCATAACTACAACCGTTTTCAAGTAATCAATTTTCATGGTACTGTCTGCATCCGCCATTGGTTTTTAAAAGTCACAATAACTTAAAAGCCATAAATTGTAGATATAGATATGTGGGTATCAAAAAACTGAAATTTCACGTAGAATAAAGAATGCTTAGGTATTTCCGAAAGTGCCGTCATTTTGAAAATATTTATCGTTTGTTGATATTCCCGCTAGTTTCGGTCTCTAGATAAATCCTGAGATAAATGAAACACCCTGTATACAGTAAGATTATTATTCAAAAACAAATAGCTTCCAGTTGAATGGCTCATTTACAGGGTGTTCCTAAATATGATGTAAATATGGAAGGGGCTCATTCTTTGGCTTATTTTATGACTAAAAGTTCATATTGCAATCAAAAATAATAACGAACAAGCCCAGCCGGTAACGTTAAAGAAATATATTAATTATTTACGTTTAAAACAAGATCTACTTAAGGAGAGCTGGTTAGAATTTTACGAGGAATTTTACGACAATAAAAACGTAGACAATATGTGTGAGTACTTTGTCAATAAGCTTGTATACTATGTAAAAAAAAATACAAACATAAAATATAAACAAAAGGATGTAAAATGCAAAAAACCATGGATAACACAAGGATTGTTTAAATCCATTAAAAGAAAGGAAGAGCTGTATAGACAAGTTAAAAGTAATCCCGAAGACATTAATCTGATGAGTAAATACAGGCAATATAACAACAAGCTAGCTAACTTAATAAAAAAAACCAAACAAACGTACTACTGTAATTACATTTCCAATAGCAGTAATTCCAATTCTGGTCTTTGGCAATCCGTTAATGAGATTTGTGGCAAACGACGATCTAAATCTACTATAGAAGAAATCACACTAAATAATGGAATAAAAACTGCATGTAAGAATAAAATCGCAAACCACTTAAATCATCATTTCAGTACAGTGGGTGCAAATCTGCACAATAATATGCTTCACATTGGCGACTATAAAGATAACATTGATATAATACCTAACACAATGTACATGTACCCATCTGATGAGGTAGAAATATTGGGAATTATAAATAAATTAAACAATAACAAATCTCCAGGACCAGAATGAAACTTTAAAACAGATCGCGGTAGAAATTGTGACCCCTTTGACGTACCTAATAAACATGTGCTTAAATATCGGACATTTTCCGAAAGTGTTAAAAAAAGCCATTGTTAAACCGCTCTATAAAAGTGGGGACAGATCTGATGTCAATAACTACCGTCCCATCTCCTTAATATCTAACCTAGCTAAAGTTTTTGAAAAAGTGATAAACAAAAGACTATGTGCATTTCTTAATAAATATAAAATATTGTCGGACCACCAATACGGATTTAGAACAGGCAGATCAACTGAAGATGCTATTTATGAAGTTACTTCAAGAATATACGAAGCTTTAGATAATAAAATTCCTATGATTGGAATTTTTTTAGACATTTCTAAAGCGTTTGACTCAGTAAGCCATAAGGAACTTCTCTTCAAGCTGGAAAAATACGGAATT